AGTTCAAAAACCAGTATTCATGATGGTACAGGGGTGCATTAGTGCATATGGCATGGGTGGCATTACATGTTTTGGCAACATATGCTGCCATTCAGACGACTTCTTTTTCAGGGAAGACCTTGATTATTTCAGCACTGAAAACATTTGGAGCATTATGAAACTAAAAATAAGAATGGAAAACATTTCACTTTCAAAACTACAGCAGTGTCTTTTTTGGAATCTCTTGTTGGCATCAAATTCAAAATGGGCTTATATTTTTCAAAAAACAATAAAATTTCTTAGTTTCAACATCTGTTATGTTGTCTTTGTAGTATTTTCCTTTTAAAATATGGTTTATATGATTTGCATATCATGTGATTTGCATATCATGTGATTCATGGATCATTGCATTCTATTTTTATTTACATTCTGCACAGCATTCCAATTATTCTGGAAATGGAGTTGTATATTAAATGGTAAATATAAGTCATTATCAATTTACAGTCAGTTTTTCAAATTATCTCCCTTGAGATTTGGTCTCCACTTTTGAAATGTGGTAATTTATGGAAATTAATGTAATGTAATATAACTTCATATTGGACACTGATCAGCTTTCACTGCCATTTTGGAATCTTCTCTATCTCCATGCAATGTTCTGGACATGTTTAAAATGTCCAAATTTTCATATACAGCTTCATAGTGTTCCACTAATTGTCTGAATGCTATGATGTTGCACATGAATAACATATTAGAAAGAGTAGTTTATTATGGAAAACTTTTTACCAGTGATTATAAACTTTTAGCTCCACTTACATCACTACTTTGCTTAATTGGAGATCCAATGTCAACTGCTTGTATCCTATCATTCTTGGTGGCTCTACATCACAGTCAAAAGCTTGTTTGACCTCTGCACACTTCATTTCTTTACTCACAGTTTATTCAATTACCTGATTAAAAGAATTCTTAGATGAGTTCACATGTCAGTGTATCATCATCTCTGGAAAGTGCACATTTCCTTGCATTCGTCTGCGCTTTGTGATTTTTTTATGAGGGCCCTCTTAGACCAGCACTCATTCAGTCATTCATGAAGCGGTGCTGGGTAAGTAACTACATGTAATACTGAAAACCTCATTATCCTCTTTGCATGTCTGCCCTTTCGCATTCACCCACCTCTCTCCCAGGGCCATTCTTTTCAGTCGCTTTGAAAATTCCTCAACAAGCCTCTGTCTCAGCGATGCGTTTTGAATATTTTTTCATTTTTTTCCCCCTAGTTCTCTCTCTCTCTCTGCCTCCTCTCTTCTGTGGAGAGCGTGCAAGACAGTTTTAATGAAATTAGAAAGCGGCAAGACTTAGTGAACTGGAGGCTCAAATCAAAGTTCAATTACGGTGCGTTTGATTTCTCGCGCGGCTTAATTAAAACGGGGAACGGCGGAGTGGGAGTGGGAGCTGGACAGTGGTGGAGTGCTTCACCATCTCAGCATGTCCACAGGGCATGGGGGAGTGGGAGGAGGAGGAGGAGGAGGAGGAGGGGGAGGGAGAGAGAAGACAAGGGAGAGAGACAGTGAGGTATGACTGTAAGAGAGAGAAAGATAAGATGAGTGTGCAAGAAAGAGAGAAAGACGGAGAACGGAATACAGAGAAGATGGGAATGTAGTGACATAGTGAAAGTGTGAATGAGTGAGAGAAAGAGAGAGGCAGAAATGATGAGAAAGAGAGACTCTGAGATCGTGAATGAGAGAGAGAGAGAGAGAGAGAGAGAGAGAGAGAGAGAGAGAGAGAGAGAGAGAGAGAGAGGAAAAATAGGGTAGAAAGACTGAAATTGTCAATGAATGAGAGAGAGAGAAAGGGAGAGAGAGACAGAGAAAGAAAGAATGGGGGAGAGAGAGAAAGCGAGAACAAAAATAGGGTAGAAAGGCTGTGAAATTGTGAATGAGAGAGAGAGAGAGAGAGAGGTAGAACAAGAGAGAAAAGAAAGATAAGGCAAAAATACAGTAAAATGTGAATGAGAGGAAGAAAGAGAGAAAATTAGAACAAAAGATGGGTTAGAGAGACAGTGAAAGTGTAAATTAGACAGAGACAGTGAGAGAGAGAGAGAGAGAGAGAGAGAGAGAGAGAAAGGAAAAGTGTGGTAGAGAGAAAGTAAGTGAGAGAGAGAGAGAGAGAGAGAATGAGAGAGAAATAGAAAAGATAGGGTAGAGAGTCAGAGATTGTGAATGAGAAAAAGAAAAAGAGAGAAGGAAAAGTGGAGAAGTTGGGAAAACAATGAAAAGCCAGAGAGAGAGAAGAGGGGGTAGAGAGACAGTGAGATTGTGAGTGAGAGAGAGAGAGAGAGAGAGAGAGAGAGAGAAAGAAAGAGAGAGAGAAAGAAGAGAGGGAGAGGAAAAAGACAGAGAGAAAGTGGGAGAAAGATAAAGAGAGAGAGATGAACAATTGGGGTAGAGAGAGAGAGAGAGAAAGGAAATATGGGGCAGAGAAACAATAAAAAGGTGAATGAGAGAAAAGAAGAGAAAAAAAGAAAGTGTGAATGAGAGAGAGAGAGAGTAGAGGAGAAAGAGAGAAAGGAAAAGTGGGGTAGAAAGTGAGTGAGAGAGAGAGAGAGAGAGAGAGAGAGAGAGAGAGAGAGAGAGAGAGGGAGGGAGATAGAGAGAGAAGGTTTGTGACTGAGACAAAGACAACTGCCGGCGGATATTAGTAACCTGCTGGTGCTCACAGTTTGGAGCAGGAAGCGTATTTTTCTGTTCTTATTTTTGGTACCTGAAGGTGAGAAGAGAGATGCAGGATTTATGATTAGAACTCCCCTGCAGCTGAACCTGCTCACCGTCACATCGGAATTACCCTGATTATGAATTTCCAACATCCATCAACCTCCAGGTGGGCACTTGGGGAACCGAAGACAGCTCAAAATGCATGCAACTCAATTTCTAACTTGGTTTTGTTTCAGAGATTCTCTGATATTGAGCATTCACAGCAAACAAGACGACATTTTTTTGTAAGTAATAGGGGATCGTTTTCAAGCAAGAGACACGGGAAACATGCTCCCGGATGAAGAAACTATCTATGGGGGCCTATCATGAGGAGGTTGAGAGTCTGATCACCAGCAATGTTACAGCCAACCTGGGCCGATAGCCTAAGACAGCATAATCGGCCTCTCTCTTTCTGGGTGGGTAGGATGGCCCTCCCCTCTCCTCACATCAAAAAAAATGAAAAATATTCTGATGGTTACTTAACGCTAACACTTTTCTTGTATCTTTTTTTTAACTACCTTCCCTCTCATACTAACTATTGTGCCAGTGAAAGTCTCTCCTAGCAAATATAGCCTAAAAGGAATGGAGCTGTCAACAGTAATAGATCTCTAAATAGCATTTTCTGCTTTATTAGTCATAGTTAATAGTGCTAAAAGTGGGTGGGAGTAATGAAATATAGCACTGCTTTTGTTCTCTGAATAATAACAAAAAAAAAAAAAACAAAGATTCTCTGACAATCCAAGCCTTCTGCAAGTTTTGCGGCCTCTCCGTCTTCTGCTTGCCGTGAGTGGGATTCCATAAATGGGGGAAGATTGATGGAACGAGATGCAAATAAAAGAGAGGAGTGAAATCTGAACAAAGCCGAAGAGCAGTGCTTTTTTTTTTTACTATCCACAAAAAATTCGATTCATTGTAAAACAATCTGCCCACGGATGTTACATTCATCACATCACTGCACACACACAAAACCCACTTTCCTGTATGCATCAGACTTTGAGTGAAAATTCACATCAGCTGAGGCGCAGTGTATTAGACAATGAATGGGAGTGTTTCAGCATTGCAGGGTGAATGTTTAGAGCCCCATTAAAGCCTGAGTGGATTCCACCTTTTCACTTCAGAGCTTCCCAGCACTCTTCACTCTTTCACTAGAGTTTAATCAGGTATAGAAAAGGTTACTTATCCATGAGTGTTACTTAGGCACAGATGGATGGATGGATGGATGGATAGACAGATGCATGGATGGAGGGATGGATGAAAGGATGGATAGATAGGTTCATAGAAAGGTGTTCCCAATCCTTGTCTTCAGAGTAAGGGTACTTATGCATGGATGGATGGATGGATGGATGGATAGGTGGATGGAAGGATGTTCGGATGGATGGATAGATTGATGCATGGATTGATGGATGGATGAATGAATGGATGGATGAATGGGTGGATGAATGAATGGATGGGTGAATGGGTGGATGGATGGATGGATGGATGGATGGATGGATGGATGGATAGATAGATACATGGATGGATGGATGGAAGGATGGATAGATAGGTTCATAGAAAGGTGTTCCCAATCCTGGTCATGGGAGTGAGGTTACTTATGCATGGATGGATGAATGGGTGGATGAATAAATGGATGGGTGAATGGGTGGATGGATGGATGGATGGATAGGTGGATGGAAGGATGTTCGGATGGATGGATAGATTGATGCATGGATGGATGGATGGATGAATGAATGGATGGATGAATGGGTGGATGAATGAATGGATGGATGGATGGATGGATGGATAGATAGATAGATAGATACATGGATGGATGGATGGAAGCATGGATAGATAGGTTCATAGAAAGGTGTTCCCAATCCTGGTCATGGGAGTGAGGTTACTTATGCATGGATGGATGAATGGGTGGATGAATGAATGAATGAATGAATGGTGGATGGATGGATGGATGAATGGATTGATGAATGGTTGGATGGATGGATGGATGGATGGATGGATGGATGGATAGGGTCATAGAAAGGTGTTCCCAATTCTGGTCTTGGGAGTAAAGCTACTTAAGCATGAGGGTTACTTATGCATGGATGGATGGATGGATGAACGGATAGATAGTTCTATAAAAAAGTGTTCCTAATCCTGGTCTTGGGAGTAAGGATATTGTAACACTGTGTATACTCACTGGATGTCAGTGGTGTATTCTTATGCTGAATGTCAGTGGTGTTTACTCATCTTGGACGTCCATTGTGTATGTGAATGCCATGATGAATGTCAGTACTGTATACTCACGTTGGATGTCAATGGTGACACTGGTCTCCTTGCCATTGGGGATGGCTTTGTTGGATGCCCGGCAGATGATCTTCTGCCCCGTCTCGATGTTGGACGGCGAAATATATAAGGTGCTGACCGTACTCTCCCTCCTCCCGTCCCGAAGAAGGGTCTGGAAGTAGCAAGGAGAGGAAACATGACCAGAGGGGCAGGGGGAGTCGAAATGAAAGGGCATAGTTAAGTTAAACCATCAACCAAGCGTGCACAAGGGGTCACGGCAAGCACAAACACCATCAGTCAAAGCCCCGACTCAAGGCCTGGGTTCGGGGCATAACATTTTGTGTTGGATACCCTGGAGACAGCAGAGACCCCCATGCATCTGCTGTCTCTCCACATCAGGGCTGATAGATTGAAGAAAAAAAACTGTCTGTTTTGGAGGCCTTTTTTGAGGTTGGAGAGTGGTGCTCCAGTATATGGCTTGTCATGCACCACAAAGGAAATCAATCTTCTTTTACTCTGCTGGTACTCTGGGCCTGGCCGCAACTCGCCGCACTGTCGAGTGCCATCTGGAAGCGCTCGACAGAATCCACTCGCTCCATCACACCGAGAGAGAAAGGCTCAGAGAAAGGGAGAGAGGGGGCATGAAAGCGAAAGACAGAGGGAGAAGGGGAGGGCAGAGAGAAATAGAGAGACATTATGAAAGAGATTGGGATGGCGGGGGTTAGAGGAAGCTCACCCAGCTGAACAAATTGGCAGTGCCAGTGAGCTCCCACACTGGGCCTCTACTGCAGAGAGATGGTCCTCCGTGCACTGCAACCACGAGTGCACTGGAAAGATTCCCGTCACTGGCTCTCTCTCTCTGCTCTGTTGCTCATTCTGTTTTCTCGTAAAATGGCATTACTGACGTCTTTGCCAACTTTCCCAATGGTTGACTGACTGAGGTCAGTCTTAATCACCCTATACAAGACTACAAATGTAGCCCAACAACTTTCTGTCTGCTCCAACCTGAACCATAGCACCAAGTTTCAAATCCAAACCTGAATGTAGCCTGACAAACATCTCTTAAACTGACCTAAACTTGACCCTCACCAATGAAAAGCTGAATAACACTCAACATTTCTAACAGTACCACCTGTTATGTCACATTAGAGACAACAGTAGTCTCTCATGGCATAGTGGCCATCCTATTGGTGGAATAGGAATATGATATTTTGTAATATAATCAATGTAAGATTGCTATCACATTGACCAGGACACTCTTGGCTCTCTGTGGTGAGCTGCGAGTGAGCAATGAGGGGCAAAAAGGGGAGAGATGAGAAACCCCTAAAAAAAAAGCATAGGGACCTCCAAAACAGACAAATTTCATTGTATGGCTACAGTAAAAGGGGGATAAAAATGAACAATGACAGTCATCCTCACATCATTGATCTACAAAAATACATCAATAAAAGTTTTAATTACATTGTAATGGATTTATTAATCACTCACTTCAAACAACATCCTAAACAGCAGCTACCAATCGTCCTCTTGAAGATTCTGTACATTGTAACTCAAATTAACCTTTCCAACTCCTTGAGACCACCAGTGGTTCCAAAACACGCTTCGTCATATTCTTCATGACTTTCATATTTCATAAGCTACATTCAAAAGGTGGGTGTCGTATGAGAGCTGTAACTGTCTTCTTTCCAGTCAAATAGATGGGTGATGTGATTTTAAACCCTTATAATAAAAGAAACTGAACTCACATTGTCTACTGAATGTTGACCCATTTTTCCACAAATCTGGGCTGTAAACTATAAACAGATGGCATCTCTTCAGTGATCTGCCCTGTAAAAATTATTTTTATAAAAAAAATACAAAGAGCGTTTAAGATTTTTGGCTTTCAGCAGTAAATTGTAAGCATATAGAAATATGTGTATGATCATAAACCACATGTTCTGTTAATTTGAGGGGAGCTTTTACCAAAAAAAAATAATAATAAAATAAAAATGTACATTTATTTCATGCAGTTACTGAATAATTTGCCTTACGCTTTGGTCATGTAAATTCAGATGGAAAAAACCAAAATATACCCTGGTCAATAAGAGGTTAAGGACATCTGAAGAAGTGAATTAGCTAGAGTGGCAGAATTTTATTGGAACTTGGCTACACAGGAAAGACCTCCAGGACCCAGTTTTTGTGACCACTGGCTTAGGGTAATGCCTTATTTTCATACTAGTCTTGTGGATCTCGACTCCAACATGCCAGATTTAAAATTGCACTACTGAAATTTGAACTTAACCAGTGCTTGACAAATACTGAATAAAATATAACTGAATTAAAACTTGTCCCACCATTTGTTCGTCATAGCCAGGTGAGCTAACACCAAAACATTCTACCTGTTCTTAGCAAACAGCAAAGAAATCTTCAGAGATTATCTTATGTGTGCATCCTACAGTGCTTTGCACTCGGGTTGATTTTTCTGTCTTGTTTCTTGAGGAAAAAAAGAACTTTTCCTGTTGAAAACCCCCTCCAACCGAGGGCCTGAGCACTATACGTGCTAGCTCTTGTGGTCGATTAGTGCCAAAAGCGTTGACTTGCGTGGGAGGTGCTTTGAGACCCAATCTGTGGCTCGCGCTCTCCAGAAGCCCAGGCATTATCGCCCTCCCCCCCTCCCCCCAACCCACACAGCACAAAAAAATCCCAGAATAATGTACTGAACAGTAATAGTTACATGCTAATTATTAGCATGTACAAGCTATTGACAGTGGCTTCGCTAATAGTAGTAATTACCTGCTAGCTATTTCATAGTTCCTTTTCTATTAAAACAAAATACGAAGAAAAGAATCAGAATGAAACCTGGTGTTTGCCTTCCCACTCAGGGGGGAAACTCTAGTGGGGGGTGTGTATTGAAGTGTCAAAAGAAGGGAGAGAGGAGTGTGTGGTTATTGGAGATGGGTGACAGAAGGCCACAGCACTAGATTCCTGCTGCCCTCCTCTAGCAAAAGGAACGTGTCAAAGAGTTCAGCAGAAAAAACATTCAGCAAAGCCTACCAGCAAGATGTTACTCATTGCTTAATGATATTTAAGATCCAACACTATTACACAAGGCGTCATGAAATAAATACACTTTTTGACACTAATCAGAGGTATAAATAAACTGTTTCGAAAAATCACAGTGTGAGGGCGGAATGTAAATGAAAGTGAAACAGCAAACACAGCACAAAGAGCTGCTCTTTCAGCCACAGGTTAAAGATAATCAGCACAACACAGTAGGTTTCCAATGCAGACTGATTCCATCATTTAGGTTACGAGTGTGTTGTGTACAATATTTCTCCCATAACTTCAACCTTGCCCTCTTATGGTGGGCAAAGAGCTTTCAATAGATTATATTCTCTATTTTTCTAACTTCTATTAAGTCTCTAATTGCCTATAATCTGTGGGTGTTTTCAGATGTAATCTGAATTAAAAATATCATAACATTTTGATGAGCTTATATTGCTAATTTAATAACATCATATCAATGACAATTTGTATCTGATATTAAGCAAACAATCCATTGTGGCTGACCTAATGGCATGTTGCTTTTACAAAACACTATCAATTCCTGGCTAAGGCTATAACTAGCTAGGCCAGTGGTCATCGACCCCAGTTATGGAGATCTACCTTCCTGCAGAGTCTTATTCGAACCATTATCTGCCACACCTGCTTCAGCTAATTAACTTCTTTAACAGTCCCTGATTGGCTGGATCAGATGCATTAGTGTTAATTAAGGAGAGGGCAGCACGCTAAATGAAGGTATGGACTAATTTTTGTAGGAAAACAGTGACCATTGAACTAGGCCAATTGATTTTTAGTTTGGAGATTTAATTGGGCCTGACATTTCGGTCCGATCTAAGCCCAAATACATTCTGTCTGACCCACAGCTCCATGTTTTCAATCTGAATCTGACCCAAGCATCATCAAGTTTTAAGTCTGAAACTGACCAGAGTTAAGAGAAACTCTGAAACTGACCAGAGCTCATGAGAATTCTGTTTGAAACTTACCTGAACCGGCCCAAAGAGTCTGTGCAATGATAGCATGGGTTAAATAACAAAATTACAATGTAACCACACTTCTAGCCATAATTAGATGTTGGTTAACGAATGCTTTAAGATAAAAGAAGCATAGAGGAAGAATAAAGTAAACTGAAAAGTTACAGCAGGGGGAAATGCAGGATTTCAAGCTCTTCAGCTATGCCAAAGTGTCAGCTTTCTAGCCTCTTTAAGACATTGTACATAAAGGACTGATTGTAAGGCAAGGCAAAGACAAATACGTTTTTTATGATGTGTTAATTTTGCTTAAAATTAATTAATAAAATACAAATATATACATTTTTGATCAGATTTTCCACCAAAATGTACCACTAACCCTGCACTGGGCTTAATCTGAGGCCCGAACCCCTCCTGCTAGTTGCTCTGCGGTGTCTGAAGCCGTGCACTAGGTGTTCATTGCCTCCAGTAGGAGAGCAGTGCGAATCAGCTGAGGATGGTAAAGCCTACACTGAGCCCTCAGCGTGAGCCACGGCCTGTCAGCAGCTGGATGTGGCGATGCAATATGCTCCCTGACACGGTGCGCATTGTTTCGCTTGCGGCCCGAGGCCTGTCTCAAGCCATTAATATCGCAACGTTTCAGGCTTCGGTGCTTAGCGACCAGAATAGCTCCCAATTACAAACTGATCATTTCTCATATGGACGCGTGGCAGAAGAATTTCTTCATAGGAGCTAAGGGTGTGTGTGTGGGGGGGGGTGATATCTCTTTTGCAGAAATGAGAAGGGCCTGATCCAAATAAGAAGTGTCAGGAAAAGGTCGATGTGTTATGACATAATTATCTTAATCTACATAAACAGCCCTGACTAGTTTTGTTCTAAGCCTGGCCATCGTTAATGATCAAGATTGTTATTTGTGCCCTGACATGTTTGTCCAAATTGCTAGTATTTTAGTGCTGTATAATAAGGGACGAATGCATGTAAGCAGACATACAGATCTCTCTTCTTTTAATTTCACTCTTTAAGCAACGACAATGAAATGACTGAACCAAATAGAGCATCACTCTTTCCCTTCAAAATGTAGCATGGATGAGATTAAGGCTGACTGGCTGACTTCTAAAAGAAAAAAACTGGAATGATGATTAGACCTCAAGGGGTGCTGAAG